AAAAAAAAAAAAAAAAAAGAAGAAGCTACAGATGTGGAGAATAAAGTAAACCCAAAGTAAATAGAAGCAAGGAAATACTGAAGAGAAGAGTAAAGCTGAATGAAGGAAGACGCAGGCAAATGATCAAGCGCACCAACCAAGCAAAAGACCGGTTCTTTGAAAGGATTAATAACGTCGGAAAGCACAAGCTAACACTAGACCTTCTTTTTTATTACTTTTTGTTTTTCGTGCTGACTGTGCATGAACTGGCTCACATGGGTGCTGGGCTCACACGGGGCACAGGGGGCGGCAGAGGAGAGGGCACGGAAGGACCGCCACAGCTCCTCCGTCCAGACAAGCACGCGTTGGCTCCTCAGCGCCGGTCCCCCCCTGCTCACTGCTGGATCCTGCGGACGCTTTGCACCTGGAAGGTCTGGGCGTGCGAGCCCCACTCTCGGAAATGCTTGTAGTCGCCCGAGTGGTGATCACACTCCAGCACATACTGAAAGCCTCGGTAGCCGGGAAACTGGGAGCACACCCAGCTGGGAAAGGGAAGAGGCAGACGGTTACCCTAGAGAGGCATCAGCGAGGTGAGCACACGGGGGACGAAGGGACTCGCTACAGACACATTTCAGCCATCCTGGCCTCCCTTCAGTGCCCGGAATGTGCCCTGCTCCCCCCACTACTGGGCCTTTGATCATGCTGTTCCCTCTGCCAAGAACACCATTCCAGCCATTCTTTGCCTGGCCCCCCGCCAAGTTGTATTTATCCTCTGGGTCTCAGCTTGTTCTGAGGACTTGCTCTCCAAATCAGGCCACACAGTCCCTTATGGGTCCTGGGTAGTTCTCGTATAATTAGACAGTTATCAGATTATTTGTAAAATGTCAGACTCCTCCGCCAGCAGGTGAGCTCCTAGGTGTAGGGGTGTGTGTGCCTCGTTCATTGGCATTTCTGATTCCTAGTGCAATGCCCAGCACAGAGGAGGGGCTGATAACTATGGAGGGAGGGAAGGAAGGAAGGAAGGAAGGAAGGAAGGAAGGAAGGAAGGAAGGAAGGAGAAAGGAAGGGAATCCTATTCCTTTCCCTCCTTCCTTAGCCAGAAGCCCTTCCAAGGAAACGGGCTACGTTGTTTCAATTCATCGACCCCTACATTGCTCAGGACCGGTCAAGACTCAGTGTCTCACTTTCTGAGCTTCTCTTTCTTCTTTGGCAAGAGAGAAGTGGACCCAAGAACCACAAGAGGTTCATCCCACTCACAACAAGATTCTCTGACGGTTCCTGAGAAAACTTAAAACCAAAAACCAAAACCAAACAGACAAAAGCCCTCCCACCTTCACCCCTGCCAAGGGCCAAAGGGCGCCTAGAAGGGGACGGTATCGTCCTCCCCAAGTGAAGACCTCACATGTCAGGCCTCACCTGCCAGCCCCTGTGGGAAAGGGTGGGAAGGGTCAGTCCGTCCTGGGCTAGATTTGGTCACCCAGCTGCTGCTGACGTGGAACACGGTGCTTGAGCCACACCGTTTTCTTTATGGCTGGACATCCCTTCTCTCCTCTTCTGGGGAGAGACCCCTGCCACCCTACGCTACCTCCCAGTCAACGTGGGAAAATGCTCATTTGGTGAAGAGCATGTGACTGTTCCTAGCCAGTTAGACCACCCTCTTCCTGCAGCATGACGATTGGTTCAGAGTTGAGCACATGACCCAAATCGGCCCAATGAGAGCCTTTCTGAGAACGTTGGGTGGAATCACTGAAAAGAGGCGCCCTTCCTGGGGTGGGCTGGAGTAAGAAGCTTCACTGTTGTCTTTGCATGGGGAGAGCTTGCCTGAGATTATAGCCCCAGTGAGACAGACAGAACAGGAAAGAGAGAGCCCTGCTGTAGCACCTGGATCCAGCCATGCCTGAAGCTAGTTACAAGGGTCAATAAATATCCTTTGGGAACAATGTCAGGTTGATACGGGAATCTACCACTTGCAACCCCACAAATTCCACCTGATACCTCCCTGTGCCTGAGTGTCCTCCTCCGGATTGTGAGCGTCAGAGCCCCAAAGTCCCCAGCACACAGTTTTCACAAGAGATGTCCCTGTCCCACCCAACAGCCTCTCCTTCCCCGCCAGGCAGAGCCTTGGATTCACTTACGCCCCCGAGTGGACATGGAAGGAACCCACTTCATTGCCATCCCAGCCCATGGCCTGGAGGGAGGGGTAGTCATCACTCAGCTCGCCTTTCCTGCCCAGAAAGTTCTCTTGCTCGAAGATGGTCAGCCTCGAGTCACGATGGTTCTGTAGGCAAAGGAAACTGTCAGGCCACCAGACACCCAGCTGAGAACCAAGGAGTCCCTGCTAAGCCCCTGCCCTTGACCCCCACCCCCATCAGCCTTCCTTGCAAACCTTTTGGAAGGGCAGTAAGGCAGCAAGCACCAGAAACCTTACAAGGGTATAGCATTTGCCTTTCCAGAAATGTACACAAAGAAAAAGAAAGGAAGGAAAGGAACGGAAAGAAGGAAAGAAAGAAAAAGAAAGAAAGAAAGAAAGAAAGAAAGAAAGAAAGAGAAAGAAAGGAAGGAAGAGATGGAGGGAGGAAAGGAAAGGAAAAGAAAGAAAGAAAGAAAGAAAGAAAGAAAGAAAGAAAGAAAAAGAAATGGAGGGAGGAAAGGAAAAGAAAGAAAGAGAAAGAAAGAAAGAAAGAAAGAAAGAAATGGAGGGAGGAAGGAAAGAAAGAAAGAAAGAAAGAAAGAAAGAGGAAGGAAGGGAAACGAAAGGAAAGGAAAGGAAAGGAAAGGAAAGGAAAAGAAAAGAAAAGAGAAAAAGAAGGATCAACCTGAACATCCCACTAGGGGATCCGGTGGTAGACGGAGGTAAGAAGAGGACTGTTGAGATCTGGGTTCAAATCCTGACTCTCCATGTACCAGCTTGGACATGTCACACAACGATTCTCCCCTTTTGCCGTACCCCTAAAATGAAGCTAACCTCCTCTCCTTGTCAGGTTCGTTTGGAGGGCAAAATGAAATCGGAAGCTGTAAACTGTGTGAAATCAGGGATAGCATCTGCCACAGTCCACCATGGGTCCCTATATCGGCACAGCGCCTGGGCCATTGTGGAATAAATACATGAGCAAATGAGTTTACTCACACCCTGAGACACTAGGGAGCCACGAACAGCGATGCTGTCAAAGAGATTTAATCACCCAGGAGGATGACTGTGATGTATTTGCCCAGGGAGAAAAGCTGGCTTCCAAGCCTGACGTTCGTTGTGATTCCATCTTTATAACAAAGTTACGAGTGGGCCTAGATACAGAGATATAGACGACATAGGTGTATAGATACAGACACAGATGTCAGTATCGATTGGGACAGGCAGAATCTGTGGGTAACAAACAAGACCAAAGGAAGTCTCCAGCACCTTTACGACCGGGCTTCTGTCTCAGAGGTGTGGAGATGAGAGACTTTTCTTACTCTGCCATATCAGGTGTTTTCCTGAACTCTGGGTGATCAATGATTTTTAAATTAATAAAAGTTGCCTTTGGAGAAAAACAATACACCTTTTTCGAGCTTCGGCTGTTTCGTCTGTAAGATGGGGAAAACGGTGCCCACCTCCACCCCCGACTCCATAAACAGTAGCTAAAGCATACAGTCAGGAACACTGGTAAGGAATCAGGAGCAAGAAATAGAACCTTCCTCCCCATCTTATCTGCCAGTATCCCCGAGTCATGAAAAGAGGGGCACCAAACACGCAGGGGCTCAAATCTTAACCAAAGTCGCCAAGGGCACAACGTTTGCACCTGTCTCTGTCCAGATGTTACCCATTCTTCTTCCCCACGAAATGGCCCCACTTCCAGATGAAGAAACTGAGGCTCAGAGAAGGGAGGGAAGCCATGTCACATGGAAGTGACAGGAAGATGGGGGTGCCTGGGTGGTTCAGTGGGTTAAGCGTCCAATTTTGGCTCAGGTCATGATCTCACAGTCAGTGAGTTTGAGCCCCGTGTTGGGTTCTGTGCTGACAGCTCAGAGCCTGGAGCCTGCTTCGGATTCAGTGTCTCCCTCTCTCTCTGCCCCTCTCCCACTTATGCTCTCTCTCTGTCTCTGTCTCTCTCTCTCAAAAATAAATAAACGTTAAAAAAAATTTTTTAAGTGACAAGAGGATGTGAACTCTGGCATATTCTGTTCCCAAGTCCCCACTGGGACGAGGTGGTGGCGGGACTCACAGCGCAGGTCACCGGTCGGAAGGAGGTGAGCCTGTCGGCTGGGTAGGCAGTGTTGCCGCTCCAGGCATCCCAGGACGGGTACTCGCCCCGCTCCAGCACGTACTGCTGCCCTTGGAAGCCAGCGTGCTCGTAACCTACCCACCTGCAGACAGAGGGCAGAGAGAACAGGAGGTAAGAGACCATTCGCCCCAAGTGCAAGATCAGTGGTTATCATTTAGGAGCATTGAACAACGTCTAGAGGCATTTTTAGTTGTCACGCTGGGAGGAAGGAGGAGAGGGTGTCTGCAGGAAGAGGCTAGACATGCTGCGACACATCCCGAACGCAGAGGACAGCCCCCATAACACAAGTATCCGGCTCCGGACGCCCACTGTGCTCAGGTGAAGAAACCTAGTCCAGACCCTGTAGTCCACTGCCTTGCTGTGTGTCCCTCGGGTGGGGGAACTGCTCTGTGCTGGTGCCTGACCATCTTGCATGCGGTCCTCTGGGCCGTGGAGACACGGCTTGATCACAGGCTGACCTAAGCCTTGGTGGGATTCCTTGTGATCCTCCAGGAACGCGGGGAGACAGGCAGTCTTGTGAGGAGCGGCCAAGGACCGTTCCCACCCACCTCCCTTTCTTGAGAAGGCTTCCATGAGACGATTACTCTCGGGGTCCCTTGAGACATGGGGCTGTCCACCGCCCTCCACCCTGGAGGGTCTAGCAGCGAGCCCCAGCCGAAGCGTGGAGCGGCTCCCCAACAGCGGGGCGCCCACCGCACTTGCTGTCACCCGGCCCCTTCTGGCGTCATCCTGTGGGGCCTGAGACGCGGCTGCCACCATGATGCCCTTGCTTTCGCTGTCTGCATAAGAAACAAGCTGTCGCATGTAAGTAATGAACCTGAGGTTATTGTCTCCTCCCCGGCAAAGCCTAGCGGTTTGCTAGACACAGCCCTGGACAGGTCACTGGTCCCATCTGACCCTCAGTTCCCCATCTGTGCAGAGCAGAAGCTAGAAGAGTGTTTCCCCGGGTGTGAGGTGCATAAATACCACCCCAGATGACCTCCATGGCACTCACAGGCATAGTCTAAAGTGACTCCGAATCACTTAGAACCTTGTTCTCCTTTCAAGCTACTTCCCAAACTTTTAGAAACTTCCATCTACTCTCGTAGCCACTAGCCCCATGTAGCTAATTAAATCCACACTTCTATTAAGTTAAATGAAAATTTTAGTTTTGGGGACGCCTGGGTGGCTCAGTCGGTTAAGGGTCTGACTTCAGCTCAGGTCACGATCTCAAGGTCCGTGAGTTTGAGCCCCGCGTCAGGCTCTGTACTGACAGCTCAGAGCCCGGAGCCTGCTTCAGATTCTGTGTCTCCCTCTCTCTCTGCCCCTCCCCCGTCGCACCCTGTCTCTCAAAAATGAATAAATGTTAAAAAATTTTTTTCAGTCCTTTAGTCGCACTGGCTCCAAATAAGTTCCCAACGGCCATATGTGGCTTTCAATTTACACAAAAGAGGGACATTTCAGACCCAACACTTGGTTCGAAAGATCTGCCCCTACAGGCCTGCCTCATCCAGTGGGCAGGCTCTGCATGAACGTTGCCTGCTGCATTTGGGCAGTGCACAACCTGCTTAACCTTATACCACTCCCCAGCACTTCAAACCCAAGGAAGGCACACCGGTACCGTTAGAGTCTGGGAAGTTAGGGCCTAGAACACCCCTTTCTAGATCCCTTCCTGTCCGCCCCCATCCCAACTCAGATCCGCCCCCGCCACCCCCAGCCCAGACTCACGCTCCGCTCAGCACTTTCAAAGATCGCACAGTCTCAAAGCCAAGCTCCAGCACACTGGGGCACTCTGCCGTAAACTCGTGCCTCCGGCCCTGGAAGCCCTCTTCATCCCACACCACGATCTGTGACAGAGGGAAAAGGTGAAGACCAGCCTCAATCAGAGTCCGGTGGGGGGGGGGGTGAGGGACGAGGACCTCACCCCAGGCCTAGGGGGCGGGGGCGGGGGCGGGGCAGGGATCGCAAACTCAGATGTCTCCGGGAGCCAGGTGGGTGAAGAGACCCCGCCAAGGGGTGGTCTCAGCTCAGCGCCACCTATTTTTTGCCACCTGGAGATGCCGGCCAGATTTTCCAGTGTCTCAAGACCATCACTATATCTGGACTCTTCTGTGGACCCTCTAGGTTTTTAAAGGCTGATTTGGAAACAAACGCATTTTCACACAGCGGAGGCCGAAGAAACCGTGCCCAGAGACTGTGTGCAGTCACCTGTTTGCCACTGTGTAACGGTTAAATCTGGGGGCCAGAAGACCCAAGTGCGATTCGAGACCCCTGTGTGTAACCTTGGGCCAGCCCGTTCCCCTCTTTGGGCCTTGACTGCATGCTCTACAAAATGGGCTCTCATGACATGGCCCCAGCGTGAGGTGGGGATTCAGGGGAGGAGGACCGAGGGGGTCGCCCATCTCTGCGGCCCCACCCCCACTCCTCAGACAGCACCCCGTGGGTCTGCCTACCTTCCAATGTCCTGTGGTTTTGGTGCACTGCAGGGCCATGTTGCCAGCTTCCTAGGCAAGAGAAGAACATGATAAGCTTCTGGCCCGCCCCTCCGCTGTCCCTCTGGATGCTACAGTCTCGTTTGGGCAGGGTCGGGAGCCAGATGGCGTCCAGATGCGACGGGGCCCTCTCCTCTTCCCATCTGTGACTAACATCATCTCCCTTACTTCCATTCTACACACCATCTCACAACTCACCGTTCCGGGTCCCATTGCCTCTGAGCCCTGCTCGGTACTAATTTATCCGCTCACTACGGGAAATTCTCCGCGGCTGCCAGTGGGATGCATCACTCCAGCAAATGCCAGAGTGCTCAGTTTGAGAGAGCCCCCTCCCCGCAAGAGGACACCTGACCCAAAGAGGCGACTCTCACGGTGGCCATTGAGGCAACGGGACTGTAGGGATAATTCTGCTTTTAAATGAAGGTAGTAGGTATTGGCCTTGATGTCTGGGGCCTGACCATGGTTAAGGTGAGGATGACCTTCAGCATGGCACAGTGACATCCCCAGGATGGGAGACCTGGCCTCCCCACCTCCCACAGTGCTCGCTCGGAGCGTGGATCCCACCCTTTCTCCAAGCCTGGGACTTACCAAGACGGACCCAGAGAATATGCCAGAACATGCGGGGACCGGCCGAGGTCAGGCTCTTATAGGCAGGGAGGGGAGAGGGCCCCTGGGAGACAAAGCTCGGACTCAGCATGTGAGCCGCCGGAACAAAAGCCAGTCCTGGCTGAAGTCCCAACTGAGAGGTGTCAGCAGCGTTGCCTACAGCTGGAAGGGAGAGGGTCAGGTGGCCTCCCTCAGGGATCAGCCATGAAGAAGAGAAAAAAGGGAAGTTCTACCTTAATCAGCTCCATGAGACTCCTGATTGGAGCAGGAGAATGAGCACTGGACAAGGAGTCCAAAACCCTCACCCTTCCTAGCCGTGCGACCTGGGGCAGGTCATTTCGCCTCCATTTCCGCCTATAAAACGGGACAAGAATAAACTATATCACGGGGTTGTTGCGAGGTTATGTAACATGCCTACCACAGGGAAAACGTTCGTCAAATGTCTGTACATTTCCTCCTCCCCCACCCCCTCCTCTTCCAGTAGGGGTAATCAGGGAAGGCTTCATGTCAGAGGTGGCATTTAGCAAGACTCTGAAGGCAGCCACGAGACTCTGAAGGGCGAGGAGGATGTATACAAGGTGAGCTTCAGGGAATGCTTTTTCTAAGCAAAAGTGTAGAGGTGGGAACTTGGGAGCATATGTGCGAGGAAGAGCCAGTAGCCCAATTGAGCTGGAGTTCCAGGACCCTGAAAGAGGGAGCCCGGCACGAAAGGCAGGCAGGGGCCAAGATCTCCAGGACCCACAGAGTTCAAAGAGGAGTCCAGGTGGTTCTGTAGGCAGAATAAAGGAGCTGGTGGGTGTGAACGCTGCTGTGCAAATAAACCTGTCAGATATCCAGGGGGGGTAAGATTTGCTTTGGGTAACCCGTCCCCACACTCCCACCCTCCGAGGGCTGACCCAAGAGGGGCCACTGACAGCGGAGAACGAGTGTGGCTGGAAACCAGATCGCTCTGGGTGAAATCCAGCCCTGCCTCTTAACATCTGGGTGACCTGGAGGATGTCTGATCTCAAGTTCATGGCCTACAAAATGGCAACATTAGCTCCCTCCAGGGCTGGTTAGAGGCAGCCTTATCAAATGCGTGACTCTGATGAAGGGCTATCACGAAAGATAAAAGGCCAGGGACGCAACCTCTGCGGCCAAGCAGCCTGGGTCCGCACCTCCCTTTACGGGCTGGAAAACTTGAGCGTGTGGCTTAATCTCTCTGAGCCTCAGTTTCCCCGTGTACAAAATGGGTATGAAGAATAAATTGGGCTCAGCCTAAGAGATAGGGGTAATGTGCAGATAAATGTGATTACCCACGAACAACACTTGCCGCTCCTGAACTGAAACACAGAAAGCGTTATGCACCTCCTCACTGTCATTATCATTGCTAATAACAAAGGTGATTACTATGAAGATACCCGTACCCCCGTGTTTGTTGCAGTGTTATTCACAACAGCCAACACGTGGGGGAAACCCGAGCGTCCACCAACGGATGAACGGATCAAGATGTGGCGTATAAACATGGGTATGACTCAGCCATGAGCAAGAAGAAAGTTCCGCCATTTGCAACAGACAGAGGAACACAAATACCGTATGATATCACTTATGTAACATGAGATCTGCCAAAAAGCCAAAAGAAAACCCTCATAGAAACAGAGAGTAAAGTGGTGTTCCAGGGCTTGGTGGGGGACACGGGGAGATGTTGTTCAAAGGGGGCAGACCCCCCTTGTAAGACTAAGAAGTCTGGGGACCTAGCATGGTGATTGCACCTAATGATATTCCATCACCTACTTGGACGTTGCTAAGAGAGTAGATCCTACCTGCTCTCAAGCACAAACAAAACAAAACAAAACGGCAACACACGCCCGTGCATCAAATCAATACACTGTGCACCTCATACTCACACAAAGTTATGTGTCAATTACAGCTCAATAAAGCTGCAAAAATGACTTCCTATTAAATAATTCTTCGTGGAGGGTGGGGGGCGCCTGGGCGGCTCAGTGGGTTAAACGCCCAACTCTTGATTTCAGCTCAGGTCACGCATGATCTCAAGGTTCGTAAGTTCGAGCCCCAAGTCAGGCTCTGCGCTGACAGTGCGGAACCTGCTTGGGATTCTTTCTCTCTTCCTCTCTCTCTGCTCCTCCCCTGCTCATGCGTTCTGTCTCAAAATAAATAAATAAACTTTGACGTATATATATATCACTATATACATGAATATACATCACTATATACAAGAATACAAGATATACATGAATATACATGAATATACATCATTAATATACATCATGAATATACATGAATATACATCACTATATACATGAATACAAGAATTCTTCATGGAAAAGCAGGAGTACATTGCTTTCAAGAGCCTGGGTTGAAGGATTCAAAAGAAGTAACTCCCAATTCCATTTCATGGATGAGCTCCCAGGCTGAGAACGGAGAAAAGGATTTGCCTTGGTTTCCTCATCTGTAAACAGGATGCATCCCAGAGACAGCCCCTCATAGTGAGGCTTGCGGGACCCAAGTCAGTAAAAATGCTCAGGGTGTAGCCACCCAGCATGGGGGGCCATCCCCTACCTCTACCCCCACTCTTTGGCAGGGGGCCCATTGCCACGAGGGAGCATGGAACTCTCCCAGACAGCCTGGCCTTGAAGCCCAGACCTGTGGGTGGTTCCCCCCGCCCCCCGCCCCAGCCGCAGGCATCTTGGCCCCTGTTCCAGTGGCTGCCCCATCTTGTGGTTCCTGCCCCCGCTCCTAGGCCTTGGCCGAGGATGAAAGGCTGAGAGAGAGGCTGGGAAGTGAGGGGACGTTGGGTGGGGGGGTGGAGGGGCAGCCGGCATAGCTGGCCCCAGGCCAGCGTGATCTCCAGGCGGAGCTGAGTTCCGTGGGGTCTGGGTCCCTGGACCCCCCACACAGGGGGCAGGAACCCATGCTGTCACCACTACCTGGGGCCAGGGGGCCAGGCTGCAGGCTGACCCAGCTCAGCAGTTTCCCCCCCCAGCAGTACCATGTGTTCACCCTCCGTGACCTTGGGGAAGTCACCCATTCCGGCTGGGCCTCAGTCTCCCCGGCTGCAAAAGGAAGGAATTGGAAGATGTGACTTCTGGTGTCTGTTCCGTTTTTCTGAGTTTTTCTTGCTCTATTTTGCCTTCTGTCTCTTCCCCTTCACCGTCCGTCTCCCCCACTGCTGCTCTGCATTTCTGTCTCCGTCTCTCTCTGTGCCTCTCCACTTCTCCCAGCCAGTCACCCTGGTTCTCTCCCTCACCCTGGTTCCCCTATTTCCCCCTGTGCCCCAGCTTGCATCATGAGCCATTGGCGGGACCATTTAGTCCCCCCAAATTGACTGGGGGTGCCTCTGTGCCAGTGCTGGGATCCAGCAGAGGACAAGAAGGGAGTGGGGTTCGGGGCTTCCCCAAGGAAGCTTCCAGATGGCAGTCGTGTTCCTGGCCACCAGCTCTGTCCCCGGGGTCAGCTTAGGGCGGGGAGGGGGCAGTGGGGGGACTTCTACAGGCAGGTCAGGGAAGAGTGGAGGAGGAATCTGGGTTCAATGTGGATAGAGGAACAGGACTCAGGCTTTGAACCTTCAACAGGCCTGAGCACAGCCTGACGTCTATACTGAGGGCAGAAAGTCAGGCCAGAGCCAAGATCAGATGGCAGGAGAATGAAGCGCACAGGCCCCCAGGGCAGCCGGTCTGGGCCGGTTCCTGCCTCCGACCTCTCTTTCAGAGAGCTGGGCTCATCTGTGAAATGGGCATTGAAAGTACCAGATAAGATGGGCTGCCCTGGGGCTTGACCAAGATGGCAGGAGTCGTGCTTTTGGTGGTGCGCTTAGCACACAGCAAACACTCAGTAGGCGGGGCTCTTGGCATCACACCCACATCTGCCTTTACAAAGCATTTTCGCACCTGCTATGCCCCCTGTCACCCAAGTATCCCACCACCCCCCCCTCCGGGGGCTCCTCTTTTCCCTGTCCCAGGACTGGCAGCCAGCAGGGACCCCATGGGCCCAGCACAGCTGGGTTTTTGGAGAAAGGCCTCCCGGTAGGGGCCAGGCACGGGGGCGAGGCAAAGTGGCAGCTGGCCAGGGTTTCTGCTGTGCGAGCTGGGCTCACAATGGAAACTGCTGCTCTCCACAGTAACCTAGGCGAGGTCGGGGCCCCAGGGGCCGCCCCCAGCCCAGAGCCTGCTGAGCCAGCTCCAGCTTTGTGTCACAGGGCATGGGCCCTGGTGTCTGCCAGACTATAAAATGGGGGGTCGGCCCCCAGTCACCCACTGCACCAGTCCGCCCGTCTGCCTGCCTGTCCTTTAGCAGGAAGTAGCAGGTCCCCAGGTAAGAGGGGACCCGGCAGCTGCTGAGAGCCCAAGGGGAGGGGAGAGGAGAGGAGAGGAGAGACAGAGGGAGGCAAAGAGAGCTGTAGCAGAAGAGAGAGAAAGGCGGAGTGAGAGAGAGAGGAGATAAAAATAAACAGAGAAGGGCAGAGAGAAGGAGAGAGAGAGGGAGAGAGAGAGGGAGAGGGAAAGGGAGAGGGAGAGGGAGAGGGAGAGGGAGAGGGAGAGGGAGAGGGAGAGGGAGAGGGAGAGGGAGAGGGAGAGGGAGAGGGAGAGGGAGAACAGGAACATCTCCAGGAAGGAAGGACCCTGACTGCCAGCTCAGGGGAATGTTGATTCCCAGAGTGACATGGGGGTTGTGAGGGATGTAAGCAAGAGCCTGGGAGTCACAGATGTGGCCCAGATGTCTGGCCTGCCCAGAGTGGGCAGAGCTTGGCAGAGAAACGACAACCCTCCTGGGGGAAGTGGGGGGGAGGGTCTGCTTGTCCCAATTAGCTCTTTCTTACCCAAAGCCTTCAGGAACCAGCCAGGGACCAGAGGGCCTTAACCTGTACTGGCAGGGGGTCCTCAGATCCCCAGAAATTGTCTCCAAAATGAAAGGGGGGCAATCACAGGGCGTTCTTCAAACACTCAAAGGCGCCCGTGACCCCAAAGCACTGAGGAGCCACAGGCATTGACCAAAGCCCTCTCCAGCCAGCGCCTA